GGCGGGTCACTGTTTCCGTAATGAACGATACGGGAACGCCTGGAGAAAAACAAAACAGAGGACGCCGCGAATCGTCGACGATCGATATTCGATTAATTGGATTTCGCCGGCTGACGTTACTTCCTCTATTTTTTTTTTTTTATTTCATCGTTCTCCACTTTTCCGTTGACGCGAGCTCCTTCTCCCGGTTTCGGTTTCACGTTTCCGGTCCTCCGGTTCGTAATTGTTACGCGAACGCGGTTGGAAACCGCGCCGGCGGTTTGGAATTTCACTTTAAAACGCAATCTGTTTCGATGAAATGTTTCGTTAAACTCTGCGCTTCAAGCTCTTAGGAGAGAATCTATCGTTTCGGGGTGCGTTGAACACAAATTCTGCCAGGTGGAATCATCCCCTAATATATTGGAAATTTAATCGCGTTTCTGACACTCTTGTTACCATTGCCCCCTCAGTTTTTATCGACACAGTACAATTTATAAACGAAAAAAGGAGGCATTTATTTAGAATAGGTGTAACTGTGTAACCTTGAAAAAAATTGTACAGCTATAATTTTTAAAAAAACATGGCCACACAGAAGACGATATAAGAGTGCGAATTGGGCGTTGGTAGAAAACAAACGTGACGCGGTCGAGTTAAATTTTCCGTTCGTGAAACTTAACCTGAAATTACCCCTCGCAGTGTGTCCGCCATTGCGTCAGTCGAGCGAAATAATGGAGTGGCGAGAGAACAGGCAAGACAGAAGTGATTTCAGCGACGCGAACGATTCGATTGGGCGCGTCTATGTCCCGGAGTTCGGCACCGTATTCCCCTGTATCGTAATTTCGCCGGTTGATAGTAATGCCCGTTTGTATGTAAACGATTCCCGGCCGACGGAATAATTATTAACAGACAGTATCGAGCAACGGTGCGGTTTAAATAGTCTCTGGTTAAAATGAATCCCACCCGGGGTCCCGAGCGGGTAACCAAAGTGCCGCGAACGTAATTTGTCGCATAAACGGCAAATTGGCCGATTCGAAAATATAAAAAATTGATACAAAGAATAACGCCGACACAGGATTTTAATATAAAATTTTCTGTACTTTCTTTCAATATTATTAATTAAAATCGAATAAGGGTGGGCCAAAGATGACGCAATGAATATTTTAACAAAACACGACACGACGAAATACAGGGAAAATGCCTGAATCATTTCCATCTCGTTATCCCATGGTAAGACATTTATTCCCTTCCCTTTTGCGCTGTACCTTTTAACCATTAAATTAGGTTGTTTCCCAAGTAATCTCGGATTTTTCCGCGAGACTTTAACCAGCCATAACATTGTTATAAAGGATCTTTTTAAATCCAACGAACTGCCAACAGATTCGAGAGACTTTCGCTAACGAGACGCCGTCGGATTTATTGTATTATTTAACAAATCTAGTTTCCCGAGCGCGACGAACTTCCACCGACGGTTGCTTTCAAAACTTAACCTCGAAAATAGCGAATTTCAATATCCACCGTCCGGGCGCAATCTGATTCCCATGATTTTCTCGTCCCGTGGAAATCAGGGGCGGCTACTTACCCCGGCGGCCGCGATGCCGTGCGACGTCGAGTAGCCAGCCAGCGTCCGGTAATTTGCTTTTTCCCCTAGCTGGCCCGCTCCTCCGTCTCCGCCAGTTACTTTTCTTCTTGCCTGAGAATTTAATCGCGGAACCGCGACCGTCGCCTTTAATGCGATTCTTCGCCCCGGTTCGCTTCCTTCGCCTCGACCGTGTCTCCCTGGAAAAACGCGGACGCCATTCTCCATCAGCTCGTATTTTAACGCGACGCAAACCATATTCCAACCGGTTTCTCCGCTCGACCACGTCCGTAATTACCATCGAACAAAGTCACCATTTATTTCGAAAAAGACAATTTCGAGATTTCGAGGGATTCCAGAATCTCTACCCTTAGAAATTCTAAATGGAAACATCACGGATAAGTAACTCTCTCGAAGGGATTCGAAATCGAAACGGATAGATTTCTCTAGCTAATCGAGGGGTGGATCTGCCAGTCCCGAGAACCTGAATGTTTGCAAATAATTTCGGAGGGTCGAGGAATAGAGAACGGACGCAACAAAGTTCGCAAAACCGGGTCCAACGCTGGTAGACTTGGCAAGGGAATCGTTCCCGGAAGCTCCGGGGTACACATTTTTCTCCGAACTAACGAGCAGCCCGGTCGTGCCTGCTCCAGCGATTACTCAACTTCTTATTGTAATTAAAAACGATAAAAACGGTCCGCAAGTTCATTACAGCGAATTTATAATTGGAAGTAGTCCCGACGGAGATTACCAGGGGAACGCGATAGTGCGTTCCGCGGGAACTGTAACCGAGTTTGATCAATAACCGCCCGCTTCCGGAAGTCCGCGACAAATGGATTTTCGATATGACCGCGTCGGTTCTGAAGTATCTCGAAATTAATTCCACCCTTCAAATGAGCCACGAAATTCGAGCGTCGTTACTGTCGCGCGCGATGACGCACGGTTTCCACAGCGAAATAAAAATCTATCGACGATTTTATGCTAACTTGAGATAATTCAGAATCGATAAGGGAAATACGAACGTTTCGAAATTATCGTAGGTCTTTAAAAAATTACGTTATTCATGGTAGATCGAGTGTACAATTTTCTCGCGTCTGACCATAGCTGATTCTTTCTACTTGGAAAATGAATTTCGTTTCGACCCGCAAACAAAATTCCATTTGTAATTCTTTGCATTAAGTAGAATATTGTTTAGCTTCGAAACGTTATGTAACCTGCTGTCGACGAGCTTTCGAATTGGAAATATTCGGATTTTAAACGCGTATTTCGCGCGCCAAATTAAATGGGTGAATTGTTAGGTTAATAAAATCAATATTTTCTCGCGCGCAGCGCGGAAAACAGTAAATAATTGTATTTACCGGGGGCTAAATTGAAAAGTAAACTGATAAATATGGCAAATGTAAAATAATTGAGGTGAGGTTAAAATGTGTATGCGTTTGATTAATTCGAGTTGGAAAATATTCTGTTTAGTAATGTGAAAACCTCGTCGACAGCGATACATAATTTAATTTACTCTATGGCAAGGGGGAAAAGGTCTCCGATTTATTTTCATAATTTTATTTTAGATGAAATTTCGAAAAGGAAATTATGTTTCAAATACTCGCGGATTTAGCATTTCCACGGTCCTCTTAAATGTATCTTTTGGACCATTCCTTCGGCTACCTTTTCGAGCATGAAATTCTATAAAATTTATTTTTGGATTCCGCTACATTTTCTCGTAACAACAGATAAGGTTCCCGCAATAAAAACATTTCGGTCCCTTAGCTGCTATTCTAGTGGCTGTGCGCTTCCGGGAAGAAGAGTTAAAGGTTTCAGGAGGTTGCTGAAATTTATACAATCCCTTTAGAATACTTCTGAGCTTCGCATACAAAATTCTTCGACGTTTATCGCTTCTAATTATTTTTTTAGTGTTATGAACTTTGCAATGTCACACAGATTTAAAAAATATTTAAAAATCGAATAATAAAATCATATACATGATTTCACAATTGTTCAAAAAGGACAGAAATATACGTGTACAAACTGTTATAATTTTATGTTTGATCGACTCGATAGAAAATGACTGTTAAATATTGTTGAGACATTTAACGGTATAATTCAACCCACGAAATTCAAACGAATATCTGATTACCTGGTGATCCGCGATCTTCCGTTTTCGGATTGTGTTTCTTCCACCGCGAAATTCATATCACCGAAGCCGTGCGCCTCGTCGTAAATTTTGAACGACTCACGTTGCTCGAAATACCTCGAATGATACCCACGACTCGGATTTCTGATATCTCTATGCGACCCAGTAACCAAATACCATGGAAAGAACAAAATTCACGATTCCCAGGGTACGCGACTGACGTGTACAGTTACCAATTATGAAAAATTGCTATCTTGAATTTCCGAAACTTCGAAACTTCGAAACGTCAACAGCAATACGAGAAAACCAAATATGGTATCGTTTCGCGCCAAATAACCATAATGAAAAACGATCGGGAACAGTTATTATTTCCCGTACCTCTTTTATACTCCATTTTTCTTCCAAATATTTTATTAACGATATTCTAAAAAAGCATTTATTTTTAAAATAAATAATAATAGAAGACCATCGGTGAAAGAAGAGATAGCAGGAGTATCAACATTTTATTAATAAGATTTTCGAGTCCTAATTAGAATATGGTATCTTCAGATGATAACAATGTAATAAACAGAGGATCGATATGGTCGTAAACTCAGTTCTCCACCCCAGTATCGTTGCAAAGAAAGCGAAACAACGTCGAATCATTAGCCCGATCATCAATTCTCACTCCTGTTCCGCAGTGTCGTTAATTTTACGGTCCAACTTTGCCCGAACTATCCTGCGTCGTCCTTGAACAGAATTTCAAACAGCTTCCACGAGATAATTTGAAACAGCTGCAGAGAAAGTTATTGCCGATCGCGTCTGTTTTCCGCCGACCAACACTTTCCAACGCAGACGTTACACGAAACGCCATTTGCATTTACACCCTTAACCACAATAGGCAAATATACTAACCGATCCAGAGATTCTTTTATTAGGAAGAAAAAAACGACATTCAATTATTTAATTATTTACAAGTGATAATCATAATTATTCATGTCCCGATTAGGCACAAAATCTAATCAAACTTTCAGATGAAAATCTAGAACTTAAATATAAAGTTTCGATAAAATCCGTTGGGCCATTTAAACGCAATCGATGTTACTAACATGTATAGTTCGGTCCAGCAAGAGTAAGACTCGAAACCCAAAGTGCAATATATGCATATATAAAGAAACAAATATTATTTTGATAGTGAAAACGTGATCAGGGAGTCTTAGAATGTGTTTTCCCGTATAAAGAAGTTGTTAAAAATTTATTTTCGATTATATAGCTCGAAAAGACACACGAACTCGATCTTTCCAGGCGTTCTGACTGTTGGTTTTCTTTGTCTGTCAGGTGGAAACAACTCTGCCGGACAAAACTCGACCTGGACTACCGCGACGACGATGATCCTGGCGACGCTCGTGTTCCTGTTGTCGACCGCTACGACGGTGACCCTTTCGACGATCAGCGCGTCGGAGCTTGTCCCCGCCAACAGGTAGCTCGTAGGCATCTACGAGGACACCGCTGCCACTGTTTGACCCGATCACATCGTCCATGTAAAACCTAGTAGTCTAGGGCTTCCAGTTATGTATGTTACTATGTATGGAGTAGATAGTCGAATAATAATGATTTTTATTCGAGTGGGCCTGATTAAGCGGGAGGACGGCGAGGACGCCCAGAGGGTCGCGCTGATCTCGCGACGCACGGTTACTTTAAACACACGTTATAATTTTTTATTGAGAAATCGTCGAACGAGATGCACGTGCAATCGGCCGGATCGTTTCGTCGTCGAATTGTCCGATTTTCTGGGGCTACTAGGTGAACACTAACACGCGGGAAATTACACGGTTTCGCGCGTCGACTGCCACGCTGGATTCGCGTTCGAGTCGTGACACTGTCTTCTTGTAACGCACACACGGTCACGTGGATCGAGCCTGGCGTAAATCTAACATTCGAATAGATTGAAATCGTTTAAAATCCCTCCTCATCGGGCAATCGAAAATTTCACTCGGAAATAAAGAATACGAATTGGAAATTTATTATGCGATCGACGTGGCAGTCAACGCGTTAAGAAATTAAAAAAAAAACATCGAAGTGGGACACGTCGGGTGAGGGGAAGATCTCCCTGTTGGGGATCGAATTTTCATTATAATCTTTCTGTACGCAATATACAACCCCTATGAAACGCGAAATGCTTGAACGTTATATTTTCCTTTCACGATTCTTTTGTCGTCTCGTTTCGTAATTCGTTAGTGACCCCAGTGTTCACCGAGCGTCGAGGATAGATATACATACTACAGGGGTAATTAATAATAACTGATATGATTAACGTTAGCGCAGCGACGAGCGGCGTTCTGCTCAATATCCGCTCCTTTTAAGATGTCTAACGAGGAACGCGACACACCATAGGTACCGATTTGTAATCTGTACAAATTGTAATAAATTACCATACGAAGTATGTTCGATCACGATTCTTCCACTTTCATTACCCCTCTTTATTCCTGCCGAGGTAAGTAATTCTTCCTGCTGTTATTCTTGAAATTTTCTTGTTCCCTTTGATAAAAGAAAGACACGAGGAAAGAAACTTTCCTAGTAAAACGACGAGAGAAAGTTAAGTCAGAACCGCGAATCGAAAACAAAAGTTTCGAACGTGTACTTCGTGGTACCCTATTTCGAACGTCGAGTATGAAAATTATGCGAGCTAAACCACTGCCCAGGGGGCGATAAAACGAGCTACAGAAATGCAGTTGATAAATACGACGAATCGTCGCAAATTTAATAACTCGATTTAGCGGGGTTTTCAGGTATAATGCATGCCCTCCCTGGAAATATTTCGACGTCATGATCCACGTAGTAGGAGTGCACTTGAGCGTTGTACGAGTGGCCGTGCCAATTTTCAGAGAACGTTCCTTATTGGATCAATCTCGAGACGGGGTCAAAGAGAGTGACGTTTCGGATTACTGTTACCTGGAAGGAAGTTGGTGCGGGTCACGATGCCACGGGGAAGAATCGTTTAACGTCGGGTTAATTGGAGGGGCCGACTTAATACGGATACGAAAACGGAGTTCGAGGTCTGGCATTCGAATTAATCCGTTAGGGGAAAAAGTGTATCGAGGTCGTTCCCGAGAGTTTCGAGCGTTCACGAAAATTCTTCGAGCGAGTTTTAAATTCGAAATGGAATAATTATACTTTCGCCCTCGGTTCTTGCAGTGATCTTTGATTTGCATCTTGGAGGGCGAACTTTAAATTGAAAGAAATTTGACGCAACTATGTCTCACTATTACTCTTTTGTTCTACTTGTATCAGTATCAATACATATCAATGAAAATATACTCAGAAATTCAATTCGATGGAAAGAAATAGTACTACATATATCACAGGGGATATTTACGAATGTCGATGCAAGTAGAAAGATTAGATATTGGTCAGACGCCTGGAGATTTAGTAATGTGTCTGACTATTATTCGTCTTTTTCACTTGTCTCAGTGTTTGTACACATTACTGGAGTAGCTAAGTAGAAGATAGTTTAATTTGATGAATATATATAATATCACATCGCTAGGGATATTGATAAATCTCGATGCAAGTAGAACTGCCAGATATTGGTCAGACGTCCTATCCTTGTAACTTCAAACTCAAGTATCTCGAAAACAAAGCCTCGTACGACAACATTGCATCACACATTTTCTATTCGATTTTGCATAAGAAATCACTCTAAATCAGAATCTACAACCTATCTGTACCCAGACTATATAAATAAAAGTTCCAATATTTCCGCCAATTTTTGAATTACTCTGTCGCAAAAAGAGAATCGTCCATTGTGTTTGATGACCATTGTCCACCGCAGAAACCCCCAGAAAATTTTAAATTATATCCAGACGTCCGAAAATTCGTTTACGAGACATTCGGTGAGTTTCGTCGGACCGGGGATTACGAGGAGCGTAATAAAATTATTTAAAGCGCCGGTTTCTCGTCAAGTGGACGCCGATCACCTGTCCGCCATCGAGTTAGTCGGGCAGAGAAATCGCCGTTCCAGTTTTTATGCCTCGATACTCAACTTCGAACAGCACACCGTCGAATTAGGTCGCTCGTATCCCAATTTCTTCACGAACGGTGACGCTGGCCGGAAAGTGGGGAGGCGTGAGAGGGGTTGGTCGGGAAAGAAAATGAAAAGGTAACGGCCAGCACCGCGGAATTGACGTTAATCAAGAGCGTACGGGGAGCGTCGTATAAGGGAACAGCCCAGCCATTCGGTCCATCTGGCTTGTCGACGAAATTAAAACCCCTGCTTCTATCTCGCTCTCTCTCACCCTGTCGGTATTTCCGGTTCCGGCACGTGTTTGCCGTGGCCAGCACGTGGCCGAGCCACCTCGAGACGTCGTGACGTGCGCGGACGCCTAAAGCTTGATTTAGACCGGCCGTTCGCTTCGAGTCACGTTGCTTTCCAGCCCGTTATACGTGTACAATGCTAATTCGAGCCACCCCCCCGATAACCCCTACTGAATTTTAATGCGGATATTTATCGACCGACTCGCTACTGTATTAGACGGACCCATTAAATCGCAGAGGGAGAGGCTTCTCTTGATTACGCGATAGCGCGAAATAATTGCGGCCGTTCGAACGTGTTTGGCTGACCGTTGGCCGAATGAAAGGTCCCGATGGCTTCGGGCGCGTGCTCAATCCAGCTGTGGCCACTGCGTCCCCCCCAAAACACCCCCGAAAAATCACTCGATTGAGGTGTTAGATCATTTGATCAATGGAAAAACGATACTCGAGATACCAAGAGATTTAAAAGGGGTGAAAACAGTTTATGAGCACCCAATAACCCTGACTTCAGACCGCCAAAAAAATGTTTTAAAATAGTTAATTATGGTTAATTGCATAGATTCAAGTGGAGAGACACAAGCAGTACGAGAATTAATTACGCAGATTAATGGAGGAAACGAAATAGTTGTGTGGTTGCACGTCGTCGTCCCGTCGGGGAATTAAATTTTCAGTTACGATCTCGATCTATACCTGGTCGATGGCGCAAGTTGGATCATGTATCTGGGCAGCGATCTGCGGCGGTAGGGTCGTCGTTCCAGCGTCAGAACTCGATTCACTGGGCTCTAAGAATAATTGATAGCCTTAGTTCGGAATAAACTTCCCACGGATAAGGTGTCCAAGAGCGAGGCTCGCGATAAGTCTTGCTTCGAGGCATTCGGGCCTGTCCTTAATACCCTCTGAGAGATATTAATTCGCCAATTATCGAGGTCCCATAGCGGAGAGTAATAAACTCCCTGTCCAGATTATCGACGCAGATTAAACGCGGAGGAAAGGCGCGAGAGTTTCCCGGACGCTGTAATCCATCCAAAATCCTTTCTTTGTATTATTTCGAAATTCCAAGTTCCTTCCCACGACCCAGACAAATATCAGGTTTTATGAAATTCATAAAATCTTATCAAAAATCATTTTTCTCAATAATTTTAGTCTCTTGAAATGTCTAGAATGGACAAATATAAAAACGAAGATGGATAACAATCGTTATTATTATCTTGAGTTCTGTGGTAGAATTCACCTAGTCTCCGATGAAGGTTGAATAGGGGAGTTGTTAGGCGATTTTCGAGCCGCAGATTTCGACCAATTAACGAGGTCGTAACGAGGCCGCGACGAGAGGATCGAACCGATCGTCAACGGGGTCGAATTCGCGGCTGGCGCACGCGCCCAGAGTTTTAAATGAAATTAAAATCGAAACACGGAAGAGGCAAGTTCGACGACTACAAATTCGTTAAGGTCTTAATTGACATCGAGTAGCTTTGTCACCGTGTAACCGGGAATGAGTAAAATAATTGGAAGGCTGGCCGCTGTATTCAACGGGGTTCGAGAACCGACCAGCTGTAACGACGTCAGCGAAGAAAAACAAAAGCCGGGGGAACAACGGGCGGGAAAATAAATCGTAGATCGACAACAAGAAACAGAACCGTGTAGAAGAGAAAATAAGGGCCGCGAAGGGGTATTTTTCTTTAAGCTCCCGTGACACGGATCGAGAAATTTCAATGAAAATTAGGGGAGGAGAGGACAAGGTAGGAGACCTTTGATTTGTTTTCAACGATTCGTCCGATCTGTGCTACGAATCGAGTGGCTCTCGAATCTCGCGTCTCGTTAGAGATCCCCCAACTAAGAACTTCTTCGCCGCTGGTTTCCGGATAAAATGATATCGCAGAGAATATTTTTTAAAATCCGTGCAGGATAGCGGAACGTGAAAGCCGAATATCCAAAATTCGATATTTTTTGCGCAAAAAATGGAAAATATGGAACAAAGGGCTTTCCGAGCGGAACTTTATTACCGTGGAAATGGATGTTCCAAGTTTGCGATTAAAAAACTGTGTACACAGAATGTGATTACATTCGCGCAACAAACGGCAAGGGATCATTTTTTTCGTATGGCGAAACTCCAAAATGGGATGTAAAAAATTTGTTACGCGTACCTTTGTTTTTGTGGGAATTGGTTTCGCATTGA